TCTTAAAATAAAAAAAAAAAATACATAATCATGTTTTAAATAATTATAATTTATAAATTATGATTAAATGTTAAGTAAAAATATTGAAAACTTTTGTTAAATTAACATTCAAATTAATATTTTTATATATGATAATAAAAATTTTACAACAAATACAAATTAATGTTTTTAAGTTATACGATCTTTCAGTTTTCTTTTCACATCATAATCGCACTTAATCATTGGTCATCATTATTCAATGATTGCTAATCCTAAACTTCACCTGTCTATTTTTCCCATTTATGGCGCAATGTATAATTACTTCTAATTTCTCTTTTCTTCCATCTCTCTCTCTCTCTCTCTTTACCTCTTTAGCTCTTTTATACCTCTTTTAGAATTGGTACTTTTATTACCCATACATGGGCCTCAAATCATATTTATGGCTATTGACTTTTATCCTCAATCTGCTAAGCCTTAGAGATTCAACTTCTCACCTATGTTTCACCTGCTTATTCCAGACATATGCTTTATCTATGTTTATCGTTATCTTTCCCTCTATTCAGGAAAAAAAAGAAAAGTCAGGTTATCATTGCAGAAACGGATAAGCTGGATACGAATTATCGAGAAGCATAATCCGTCACAATCAATGTCACCATATAAAGCATTTTTTTTCATTTTGCTTTTAAAATAAATTACATCAAGATTTAAATTTAAATTTGAATTCACTTGAGTTGCACAATTAGGATTTAAATTCAAATCCAAAATCAAGTTGCGCTACCAAGATTTAAATTTAAATAAGTTGCATAAATCGGATTTGAATTCAAATCCAAGTTTAAATTCAACTGAAATGTGTAGTCAAGATTCAAACTCAAATTCAAATTAAAGTCCGATTGAATTGTACTACAGAGATTCAAATTCAAATCCAAATTTGAATTCAATTAATTTGTACAATCAAAATTCAATTGAGTTACATAATAGGGATTTAAATTACTAATTCAAGTTTAAATTCAATTCAGTCCAATTAACACAATTAAGTTGAAATTAAAATCTTCAGTGAATGTTTAAATTTTAACAAATTTCGAATTTAAATAGTTTTTTTTTGAGAAATTTGACAATATACCATGAGAATATATGTCACCCTGCGGAATACATAATTCATCCCTTGTTGATGGTTTTCTACGTCGTATTGGCCTATAACCACCAAACCGTAGCTGCTTCATCCTCCTCTCTTTACTACGCCGATTTTGAAACCATACCTGAAAAGTAAAAAAAAAAAACAATTAATTTCAAATTTTAATTTTGTAAAATTTTAACAAATCGCCAATTTATTTTGTAAAATATTTTGTGGTTAATTTCTAAATTCAAAACAAAAAAAAGGAAATTATTCAATATATGTTTTAGTTTGTTTTCTTTTGTTTTTTTGCTTCAAATTATCACCAATTTTAAATGTTCGCATTTTATAAATTTCTTTTCTTCTTATAGACAACACAGTAATTAATAAGCTATTATTGACCTTTTTTTTTAATTTTAATAAAGATGAAGCTAAT